CACTGCCCTCAGTCGTCTGTGATCAGAACTGTCACGCGAATGCAGAGTGTGCACTAACTGAAGGCAGCTTTACCTGTACATGCAATACAGGCTACACCGGAAATGGCATCAGATGTGATGGTGAGGACGTGATTATCGAGATTAGCTAAAATCGTAAATTTCTACCTCATCTGTTAAAGGCAGAGCATTAATTTTTGAATTTCCCTGCAGATGTTAATGAGTGTGAGTTGGACCCTAGTGTCTGTGAGCTTCGACTGTGTGTCAACACTGAGGGGAGTTATGAGTGTACATGTCCCACTGGCTACATGTGGAATGAAACAGTGTGCAATGGTAAACTGTACTAGCTACCATTAAACGATACTGACACACAAATTCATGAGTCACTTGCCACACATCAACACAAGTCAACTACATGTATCGCTATGAGGTTAAATTAATCATGATCTTCCTACTCTCATACTATGGTTGTTGGGGACATTTCAGATATGGATGAGTGCCTGGGAGAGGTATCAAATGATTGCAGTGCAGCTGCAGACTGTATAAACACTGTTGGGAGCTACAGTTGTCACTGCAAGCCAGGATATGGAGGAGATGGCACCAATTGCTCAGGTGTTGACATGAGACTATATACTCATCACCAATGTACCTACATGCATACTGAACAACGACTTCATACACCAAATAGCTGTACATGCAACAACATGGATTAACATGTTAAAACCTTTTGCAGATGTTGATGAATGCAGTGTGAGATCCCATGACTGTAGCAAGAATGCCGAGTGTCTAAACATTGAGGGAGGCTACAACTGCCAGTGCTCAATTGGGTACACAGGCAATGGAAGAATCTGTGAAGGTATTCATCATCCATATCCTACTATAACATGCGTGGCATAAGATTCATGCTATATATCCTCCTTCAGCCCTGCCAGATGTTAGAGAGCCAGAGGAACAGAAAACTAGTGAAAATGGCTCTAACTTGGGACTCATATCAGGAGTGACAGCAGCAGGGTTCCTGGTTGTTGCTACTCTACTGATAATTGGATTCCTTTGTGCTCTTAAAATTAGAAAACACTCAAAGTCTATGAAGGTTCCTCTATCTATCAATGTTGCCTTCGGTAAGCCAAATCATAATTTGCCTGCACTCTCTGAAAGCACAAAACAGACTAGTTTAACTTTATTGCAAAGGCAGATACAGAAATATAACTTATACAAAAATCCGTGTATAAAAAGGTCCATTCACCACACTTGCTACAGAGAGATAAAGAAATCTGATGCTGTAGGTAATGAGGACTGCAACACTGGAAGAGCTAAACCTGATGCTATCACCACAAGCAGCAATGAGGCTTATCACCTAGTGACCCACAGTGCAAGAGCTGAACCTTCTATCAACACAAGTAGCAATGAGGCCTACAACTTAGTGAACCTGACTACTAGAACTGAATCTAAAGCAATCACTACAATCAGCAACGAGGCATATGATATAGTGACTCCCAGTGCAAGAGCTGAATCTGTCAGGGTCACCACAAGCAGTAATGAGGCCTACAACGTAGTAAACCTGACTACTGAATCTACAGCTATCACTACAAACAGCAATGAGGCTTATAACCTAGTGACTCCCAATACACGGGCTGAATCTGATACCATCACTACGAACAGCAACGAGGCTTATCCTAGAATGACGCATGCTTCCAGAGCTGAATATGACTATGTCACCACTAACAAATGCTTCACAAACCCGTTTTTCTACTGATAATAATGGTGAATACACAACAGTAGGTATGTGAGGGAGTAGACTTATCACGCATGCATTATTATGTTACCTGTAATTACGTCATTATTCTAGAGCTTTCTGTAGTCATGTCATCTGTACTGGGATTAGTCAGTAGCACGTGGTAGGACGTGGGTCGTCAGTCAGAGAGTTTTGTATCGTGTGTCAGTATGTCTGTTGCCGATCGTGGGTGGAGTCTGTGGGTGTCACAGGTGCCTGTATCCTCACTTAATATAATATTTTACTAGACTGCACAGCGGCACCATCACAAGGTAACAGAGGCCCTCTCAATATCTGCAACCAAATGAAGTGTTATGGAGGGAGAGATTCTGATCCTGTTAGTAATGAGGCCAGCAATACTCATCCAAGCTATGAAGCAGCAATGAGGCATACGACATTACTGGAAGAATCCAGTCTGATTTTATAACCACACACAACAATGAGGACTCTCAATGGATCATGTAGCTAGTAGCTACTGACTAAAGCATTGGTAGTAGTATATACTTTTCATACACTTCGTGCCTCATTAATAATTATAATTGAATTTGGGAGCTTAGTTAGATTATGTGGTATTAATTCCAGCATTCCCAGCGTCCCAGTGTCAGATTGTGTCTGTGTGTACTGGTGGAAGGGGTGAGTTAGGGTATCTGGGAGGTAAGGCAGAACCAATATTAATGAATGTACATCCACCGCCCATTGCTCGAGTGTGTTTATGGCCTAGTGCTATAGCTGCCACATTATTATACAATAACCCCCACAGAACCTTCTACTTCATACGTCAAATTGGGGTGGTAAGGTAGAGGACAGGGACATAAGATTTGCCTTTCACATATTGTCATAACCGCATGTGGCACTGGCCCTTTAGGTTGGTAGCTAATAAGTGAATGTGCCTGTACACGCAACTGATAAGGAGATTTATATATAGTTGTGGTAACTGGGCAGTACTAGGTGGCCAACATCACAGGGATTGAACAGCCAGCTGTATAGTCACTAAAGGCTTGCAGCTAGCTATGAATATTTCTGCGGTGAGGTTAAGTACAAACCCATCCCTACAGCGGTATTTGATGTTTATGCTCTGCTTGGTGTATGTAAGCGCTCAGTCACATTCCTGAACCAGGCACAGGTAGGTGGATCACGCAGTCTATTTTGCGCATGCTAGAAAAGCATGTCACAATGTGCTATTTTACAGTTAAAAAGCAGGCTAAAACTCTACTGCTGTGTTCTTGGGGGGAAAATGAGGAGTGGCTGTTATAATCTGAAAGATCAATGACCACATCCCTTTATGTTTTTTGGATGTCCCTTAGGTATATACCTGACCAGCCGTCTCTAATTATGTTTGTTTACACTCCTAAGCATAGGATCTTGTTTTAGCTAATTTGGTGCTTTGATATGTGACTGAAGGGAACGTGTGAATGTATAATATATAGTCAAGCATACAAAGTGCCAGGCTGGAGCTAGAGCAAGCATAAATCTGTCATTCACATGCATACCCCTCAGAGGAGGTCGGAGATGCACAGGGATTGCGTCATTGTAAATGGCTAACACAGAATGTGCTGTAGCAAAACCAAGCTGGATTTGGAGAGGATTTGCGACTGACTCGATGAAATATGTAAGAAAGACACTGAAAATCCTATTATCCCCAGTAATCCCCTACTGATCGGCAAGTTAAATTGAAGAATACTAAAAACTCCGTCACGCTCACTGTGTGAGCCCTAGCCATGCTTGGGTAGGCAACCCCCTGAACTATACTCCTGCCCTAGCTGGGATGGAGAATGAGAGGACAGTGTTGTTGGGTATAAATTAGAGGAGGATGGCCAAACCAGACTTTCTTGGGTCCCAGAGGTATCATCGACGCCCGCGCAATTTTCTGAATAAGCGGTGCGAACAACGCATGCGCAAAAACCCAAGGAGGGTTTGCGGGGGGCGGTGTTCCCGTTCATAAGCCGCCGTCGTCGGCGGCATATCAACATCAATACAGCGCACGAGACTAGGTGGCTCGTTCAATCACAACAAAGCAGCATGATGGATGTGACTATCCTGCTCTCGCACATAATCTTGGCTATACTTCGATACGTGAGTTACTATAGCACTGTCGCATAGTCAAGTCACATATCAGCATAATAATCACCGATTTATATGTCCCCAACAGGCATATTAGATGCACAGTCGTGTTCGGACTACACTTCTGGCAGCACCAACACCAATGAGAACAACAGAAACACTAATGCGGCTATATATGTCAACAGAAGGGGAGCAGACGAAGCTAAGTGTAGTGGAACAGTGTATGCATGGCACTACTGCTACTACCCTGAAAACAGCGAAACTGATCTTCAAGTAGCATTTGGGGTATTCTCATTCACCAGCTACCATCTTCTCCACATGGATATGCGAGAAGATACCTTTACCTGTGACACTCTAACACTGGATCCCTCGGAGTACTACCCGATACAGAAAAAGGACAGAGTGGGAGCTTGTCTCAGACCTGATGGAGACACAGAATACCTTGACATTCTCAGATATCGTAGCAGAGAAAGAGTTCATTCATGGACAGGTGGCGGCAGCTGCACAGAAGCAGATATGGAAATATCTCCTACTATACGTATTTCCAACAGACAAAACGCACAGCTCCATCTTGACGTGGATATCAGTAAGTTTCCTGCCATCATAACACACTGGCATGGCTCGGGGAAATTTTTTTATGCAGACATTGATGAATGTGCTGTGGGGGTGCACAACTGCCATAGAGATGCTACGTGTTCAGATATTGTGGGAGCTGATGGAAGCTTTCAGTGTTCTTGTAACACTGGATACTCTGGAGATGGTGTGAACTGCATCAGTGAGTTACCTTAACATGTATTATAATCAGAGCCTCAGTAATCTTTGCAGATATTGATGAGTGTGCAACTGACATGGACAATTGTGCAGAGCAGGCTACATGCAATGACACTGAAGGCAGCTTTACCTGTACATGCAATAATGGCTACACCGGAAATGGCACCAGATGTGATGGTGAGGACACAATTATCGAGATTAGCTAAAATCATAAACTTCTGCAAGCAGATATTGATGAATGTGCTACTGACATGGACAACTGTGCAGAACATGCCACATGTACTGATATTGAGGGGAGCTACAGCTGTAACTGTGATATTGGGTATACTGGAGATGGCACAGAATGCATCGGTTAGAAAAGTAACACACCAAGCCTTTTAACATACAGGGGAACATTCACAGATGTGAACAAGTGTGAATTAAAAGTCGACAGCTGCGATGAAAACTGTACTAACACTGATGGTGGACACAACTGTTCCTGTTTACCTGGATACTCAGGAAATGGAACATATTGTTATGGTAATGAA